GTGTGCTTGTTAAAATAGCTTTGAAAATGCTTAAAGAGATTTAATTGAGATCCAGGTAGAGAGTGTTTTGAATGTTTCAGGGTTGACCATGCATTATAGAAATGGGAGTTTATCTATACACTATTCAGTCTTCCTTCTGGTAAAAACACAATTCTCCCTCATCCTTCATATTCCAGCACAGAGGATGGTCACCAGTTGGTTTACACAGTGACTTTTATCTTAGGTGTCAGAGTCAGTTTTCTTTCTATACTGTTTGTCCTGCAAGTTTTTGTCTGCAGGATAAATCCGTTTAAAACTCTTGCCTGCCATAGAATTTTTCATAATGAATGGGTAAGATTTTGAAACCTAGCCTACTAACACTTTGATAACTTTTAACCGTGAGCATGGGGTTCAGAACTGTCACATAAATGAGAAAGAAAGACTTCTAGGGCCCCTGGTGACTTGAATAATTGAATCAAATAAGTAGACTGTCACTGAATTTGTTTTTTTTTTTTTTTTTTTTTTTTTTTTTTGTGCCTTTTGAGACAGAGTTTCTCTGTGGCTTTGGAGGCTGTTACGATAAATCTTTCCGCCAAAAGCCGCCGAGCCCCACCGCCACGTGTGCGCTTTGCGCCAGCCGCCCGCCCAAGTTAGGCCCAAATGAATACACAGAAAGACTTGTATTAGGTTCAATGCTGCTTGGCCAATGACTAGGATTATCATCTGTTAGCTTAGTCTTAACTATCATAAATCTGTATATTTTATAAGACTTATCTTATTGGACGCCTTATTGGTGTTTCTCCTTGTTGGTGGATCACATTGTACCGCTGGAGGAGGCGAACGGGAAAGGGGGCCCTTCGCTTAAATATGAGTCTCCTTGCTATGTCACTTCCTGCCTGGATCATCACTTCTCTACTACATTTCCCAGAATCCTCCTTGACTTCCAGTCCCGTCTAACTTGCTGTCTCATTGGCCAAACAGTATTTTATTTAACAATAAGATAAACATACACAATAGTACATTCCCCATCAGGAGGCTGTCCTGGAACTAGCCCTTGTAGACCAGGCTGGTCTCGAACTCACAGAAATCCTCTGCCTCCTGAGTGCTGGGATTAAAGGCATGCACCACCAACACCCGGCCCATCCCCTTATAATTTAATGGAATTCTTCCTCCCGGCATACCTGTATTAACCACCCCACCTGGCAGTTTTACTGAATTTTTTAGTCCAGATCACATGAAGTTGAAGCTGAGTTTAAATTCCCTATGCAGCTGGAAAGACCTTGAAACCTTCATTTTCTTAAGTGTCTCCCAAGTACTAGCATTACAGGCATGTGCCACCATTCCCAGTTCTATTTTAAAACTTAAGTTTTAGGTTAGCATACAAAATACAGTTTTCAGTATGGTGATTCATTCATGTATCATTGTTGTCTCACTCCCTCACTCATACATTGCCTTTCTCCATTTCCCTTTCTCCCCCCTTAAATAGACATTTTAAAAATGCAGACTAAACTGGATGGTATGGCATATGCCTATAATCCTAGCACTCTGGAGGTAGAGGCAGGAGGGCCCAGTGTTCAAGGCCAGCCTCAGTTGATAGAGAATTTGAGGTCAGCTTGGGTTACTTGAGACTGTCTTAAAACCTAAATAAATAAATAAATAAAATCCAAACTTTTTATTAGATAAACTATTCTGTCTCATGAGACAGTCATAACCATATGGGAAAGCTATAAATAAAAATACTCATTTAAAAGATAGAGTATGTAATAAACTGATTTAAGACAATAGTGTATGCTAAACTCATTCTTCATATTAATCCCAATACAGGTAATTATATTGTGTGGCCTAATTATAACTTGTTTTATTCTACCTGTCATGTTGCTGTATAACACAAAAAACACATTATACAAAGACTTCACTTGACAAATGTAAATACAGTCTTGGTTTGGTGTATATTGGACACAGTAGTCTTCCTTAAGCCTAAACACAGAAACAAAAGCATGTATTATAAGAGAAAGTCTGAGATGGGAAGTGATAAAGTGGGTATTGAGTAAACCTTTGTTAAAATTTAGCTGGTATCCTTGTAAAATTTCCACGTATTCATTAAGTTATATTATGTCATTTTTATTGTTAGGAGCTGATTTGAAGTTGAGCTCTGTCCTCAGAGTTGTCACAGTTTGCTTACTGTGGCTGGAAGATTAAGATTCTGTTATTCTTTTTACATAGGTATTTATTGAGATAAGATTATTCTGTGGGTTGGATTAGAGTTTAAATGTACCAGGGCTTGTTTCATTTGCACAAAGAAATTTTGAATAGTGGATTTGTTGTGGGTGCTGTAAATTTGAAAATAAAATGTGTTAAGAATGCTAGTTATGGTATTTATAATTCAGGACCTTTGAAGCCTTCTTTATGTCCTTTGATTTTTAGCTGGGATGATTAAATGCCTGTAATCTCAATACATGGAAAGTTAAGGCAAGAGGTTAGGACCAGCTTACGCTATATGGAGAGACCTTAAGTCAGAGAAGGGGGGGTTGAATGTTTATTTTAAGAATTTTATCCATGTATATATGTCACAGGGGGCATGCAAGTATATACATGTCAAACATGTGGAGGTCAGAAACAACTACATGGTGAATTCAGGCCCAGCCTGGGCTACATGGGAGTCTTCAAAAAAGAAAAATATAATAATTAAAATTTCCATGATTAAAGTTTCACTTGAGTTACTGAGCCCCCTGTAAAGCACCTTGTGAAATTAATTCTTTGGGAATTCTAGGTAGGTTTAAAATTATTTCCTTTTATTTTGTCACAGGGCCTTAAATTCATTATTCTCTTGACTTGGTTTCCTGGTTGTTGGAATCACAGATACACAGAGGTGTGTGTGTGTGTGTGTGTGTGTGTGTGTGTGTGTGTGTGTGTGTGTGTGTGATGTTTGGCTCAAATGAACTATTACAGTACTGGATTCTTGGAAGGCAATGCAAAGATGTCTTAGATGTTTTCGGAGTTCTCTGCCTGTTGATGCCAGTTTGTCTTGTTTTAGGAAATAAGGTCTGACTATCTTAGAACAGATTAAAGACTACTTCCAGTTCTTAATAATTATGGGATGGAGGGGGTAAAGCATTATATTAAACTGGGTGAGTTTCATTTCTGATAGCTTCATTTTGTCCCCCATTGCATTTTTTTTTCACCCCATGAAGCAAATCCATTTCATTATAAATTCAAGGAAGGGTTTGGCTAAGGACAATAGCCTAACCCTTTGCTGTTTAGATAACATCAAGATTCAGGCATGCACTGTGGCCGGAACTTGTGTGTGCAAGCAGCAAAGGATTTATTCAAATAGGAGTTCTGCCAGTGACAAAGAACAGAAGGGTATATCCTCTAAAACCCATTTAAATTTGCTGAATTAGAAAGCCCTAAATTTTAATATCTTAAGCAGTTTAAACAGAACCAAAATTTGGCATAAAATTCTAATGTTTCCATGGGTTTTTAATGGTTTTATTTTATATAAAGAGCCAGTTTTTGAAAGTTGAAGAGTAATGGCAGAAAGTCTGAGAGGAAGAATGGCATAATGCTATTGGTAAGAAATTTTTCTTTATTTTCTGTGTTGTAGAAATTGACTTGATTGAAAAAGAAATGCACTCTAGCAAGCCAACAAGGGTATATTTTGTTGAGTCTATTTTTGAAGCTTGTTGTTAATGCTTCAAATGCCTTGATTGGGTGTATGTCAGAATTTAATATGAATCTTGGCTACATTGTAGTTTAAGATATTTCTATATTGTTCTTTATGGAGTCATGGAAATGTTAATGGTTCATTTATATAAACATTTACATTAAATTATACATTTAAAATATGCATGTTTTAAATGTAAACACAATTGAGATTATGAGTTTTCCAAGTGTATTTGAAATGTTAATTCTTGGTAATTTCCCAGTGAGGTGTATGTTATATTTAAAGTTAGTGATAATGGATGATTTTTAGAACAATTTTATATTTAAATTAATTTTACAGTTTTGCTAACTTTGGTAAAATTTGGCAAGGCGTTATGTCTTAAAGCAGTTCGAATGTACAGAAGCAATTTTTGTATAAAGAGCTGCAATGTAATATGGTCAGTGATTGTTGAGGAAATTTTAAGTAGGTTGACCTACCCAGTAAATTACCAAACAGTTCAAAATAATTGGAGTGTTCCTTGATAAGCTTTTTAACTGTTCAAGATTTTAGGAATATATTTAATGCTAGACTAAGGTCAACTTGTTAAAACTTTGGAGAAAATTTGAAATAGTATGTGAGCCCAATGAAAATATTTAGTTTTAATGGCAATTTCACTTGGACATAGTGGTTCATTCCTATAGTCCCAGTACTTTTGAGGCTGAGCTATAAAAAGATGGCCATGAGTTTGAGCTAGCTTGGATTACACAATGAGTAGGAGAGTAGGCATCTCTACATAGCAAGACCCATGGAAAAAGGAGAGAGAATGTATGAGGCGGGTGGGGTTCTGGCACTGATAATATCTTGGCAGGTATTGATTAATAGTTCTCAACTGAATACTGGGTTGAGGGGGTGGCGTTAGATGTGGTGGTGAATGAACACCTTTAATCCCAGCACACAGGCAGCCAGCCTGGTTTACATTAGTGAGACCCTATCAAAAAAAGAGAAAGTCTAGGGACCCACTTTTCCTTTCCTCCATTTCTTTCTTCCCTTGCTTTTTTTTTTTTTTTTTTTTTTTTTTTTTTTTTTTTTTGAGACAGGGTCTCTTGTAGCTCATTCTGGCCTGGAATTCCACGTAGCTGAGGCTGACCTTGAACTCTATTTTTCTATGTTTCACCATGCCCAACATTGCTCTTTATTTGTGTATAGGTCTTCTGGTGACATAACTTGATTCACGGCCTTACAGCTTAGGGACTGCTGGACCCTGTTTGTTGAGTGTCCAGATTTGTCTGTCTCAATTACCAGTTTTCTTTCATTGCCTGATGTTCATCCTTTAAGTCATCATGCATTTTGTCTCTTTTGTTTTAGACAGGTGGACAAATCTGATTACTATTTGAAACTGAAGATTATAAAAACTGGGAGCAGGGGCTGATGAGATGGCTCAGTGGGTAAAAGTGCTTGTCTTACAAGCCTGATGACCTGAGTTCAATATCTGGCACTCGTGGGACAGGGTGAGAACTGACTCTGTTGTCCTCTGACCTTCACACACTTTGTGGAAACACAATAATAATAAGTAGTTTCTCTTCATGTAAAGGTGGTGGTGGTGATGGGAAATGACCAAAATTGGTTACCAAAAATTATCCCTAATAAATGGTGAGTGATGGTGCTGATCCTGAGGAAGAACCCCAGCTTAGTCCAATATTCTTCAGGGATGGGGTTCTTTGGCCTACCTCTGAAGACATAATTAGGATTGGACTGTACCCTGCAAGTTAAGGAGACTGCTGATCTTTATGACAGCATATGGTGTTGGGCTTGCTTAATTGTTCTGTATTCTAGATAGCTAGACCTTGAGAATAATTGCCACTTTAAACCACTGATTTTTGATGGATTGTTATTATGCTATTGGGATGACTCAAGTATGATTTAGTGTCCAAGTACTACCATAGACTGAAGACAGTATTCCTAAGCTGTCCAGAGGGTTTTGAATGGTAGCATGACTTGTTTCGGAGAAGCTGGACAAGACACTTTTAAAATTGCTCCATTTCTGTAGTGACATTGAGGTTAATATTTTTTGTTTTGGTTGATTAATGATTTTAAACAGTTCCATATATGGAGTAGTTTAAAATTCATTTGACTTTTACTTGGCCAGTTAATTTGTCATGTAAAAAAATATATTGCTGTCTTAGTACAAATATCTTTGTCAAATCAAAACAGTGTTTTTATGAGTGTCTGCTATGTGTCAAAACTGAAGTATACCAGTTAGAGGAATGTATGGAATCCAAATTGAGGGAGGTGCAATGTTTTGTGTGTGTGCTTGAGCTCATGTGCGTGTGTACACTCCCCACGGTGCTCAGGAGTTCATTATCTTTCCACTGTGGATTCAGAGTGTCAAATTTGAGATCCTGAGGCTTGTGTGTTGAGGCCATCTCACCAGCTGTCTACACTTGTTTTAAAGCAGTGACTCAGACTTTTTAGGTTTAGCCTCTCCTGTACACTTCTACAATTACTGTTGATGTTAAAGAGTTTTTGTCTATGCTGGCTTTATGTATTCATAATGTGTTATAAGTTAGAACTGTCCTGGTGGTGGTGGCAGATGTCTTTAATTCCAGCACTCAGGCAGATCTCAATCAATTAATGGCCAGACTGGTCTATATAGTTGAGTTCCAGGCCAGCCAGGGAAGAAGAGGTTAGAACTGATGATTTAAATGTAACTGACCATTGGTATTTGAAGGACTCTGCCAGGTACTAAAGTCTGAGCTACTTAATCTTTTATGTCATGTGCTAGACTGTTTGCATGTAACCCATATATATTCCTTAGCTATTCACGACTTCATACATATGCAGTCCAGGTGCTTCCCCTTCTCAATATATCTGCTCTCTGGTTGGTCGAACTCACTGGAAATCTGGGGCCTGCAGGTACAGTTCAGTGGGAGAAAACTTAGCTATCACACAGTGCCCTATGCAGGCTTCTCCAGCACCTCAGAGATAATACTTGGCTGGTTCTGCAGTCACAATAACATGCCAGTTTTTGAATCTCCACTACTTATGACCATAAAACTCAGTGTGTTTCATTAATCCATACTTGCTGCAGCTTTGATATATAACAATTTTAAGTTCTGAGAGAAAATAAATAACCCCTTTTCATTCTCCAGCTGAGGGTAGTATTGTTCATCTACTTTGAGCTAAACTACTTCATGGAACTGAATTGATTCTTTTAATTATAGTACCAGCAAGAAAACCAATCTTACACCCTTTTTTGGGAGTGTTAGGTGGGGGAGAGGAAGAGTCACCAAGTTTAAGTTGCTAGCCTCGGGCTCATGGCTATCTTGAGTGCTGGGATTGCAGGTGTGTACCACCAGGTCTGAATCTTTTTCTTTTTTTTCTTTCTTAAGATTCGCTCCCTCATTCATTCATTCATTTTTGAGGATTTATGTAGACAGTGGTCTGGCCTGCATGCCTACATGCCAGAAGAGGGCACCAAATCACATTTACAGATGGTTGTGAGCACTTATGTGGTTCCTGGGAATTGAACTCAAGACCTGGAAGAACAGCCAGTGCTCTTAACCTCTGAGTGGTCTCTCCAGTGCCCTCCCCTTCCCCCCAGGTCTGGATCTTAAGAGATTTTTGTACCTAACAAATACTTGTTGAATGTGTTACATAGGTTAATAGTAATTCCTAGCCAAAATTTTACTAGGATAATACTGAACTAACAATGTGTGATTCCAAGTTTACTGAGCAACCTCTGAAGCTTGTCTCTGTTAGTCTCTATGAAGCCTGTCTGGGGTGAAAACTCAGTTCAGGGACACATTACTAAGAAGGGTAGAGGGAAGATACCATTAAAGACATTTATAAAGCATAAAACACTGCCATTTTTCTCACCAAAGCAATAAAATTTAAAGTTTGTTAAGAAATAAAAGTTTAGTCCTCGTGCTCAGGAGGCAGAGGCAGGTGGATCTTTACAGAGGAGTTTCTAGAACAGCCAGGGCTACACAGGAAAAAAAAAAGTTTGTTGTTGAGACAGGGTCTTACTGTGTAACTCTGGCTGGCCTGGAGTTTACTATGTAAACCAGGTTGGCCTCAAACTCATAGATCTTCTTATTTATTCCAAATCCTGGGCTGGGATTAAAGTTGTGAGCTATTCTTTGACAATTGCATGCCATATATATAGTATATTTTGATACGCTTATCCTCCTGCCTCCTTTGTCTATTTTCATACTTCCACAGAAAGCTTTGTTTTTCTCAACAAGTTCTTTCTTTTTGGTATTACCCATTGAGTTTAATTAGGGTTGATTAGGCAATTTACTAGTGGTTATTCCACTGAAGATATTGATCCTCCTTCCCCAGCCAATAGCTCCTCAGGGATGGGTGGGGCCCTATAAGCCTCTTCTGTGTATTTGCTGCAGTGATTTAGTGAGGACAGAGGCCAGCATTTCACAATGTTTCTCCCCATCTTTTTTTTTTTTTTTTTTCCCTTCTGCTCTCTACAATGACATTCCTTGACTGTTGGAGTAATATAAACGTCATGTTTAGGGCTGAGCTTTATTCTACCAGTTATGAGTCTCTTTATTAACTGGAGAAAGAAGGTTCTCTGCCCAACGTTGAGAGCAGCAATAGTCTGTGGATATAAACATAAGTATTTGAAAAGTTGTTTGGACAAGAATAATAAATAGGTTTATTCCCCCCATGACTTCCCCACATCTAGGTAAGATGACTTTTCTCCAGTAGCAGCTTATATATCTAGCCCCTTCTGGCATTATGAAGGAAAGTTATCTACAGGGAGAGTTTCCAGCTCAGTTTCAACTTGATTTCTCTTTATGTTGTCATCAGCAGTGGAGTTTTACTAACACCTAGTTCTGGTGGGCAGCCAAGATCTGTTTTTTAAAGAAAACCAACAAAACCAACATTTGTTTCTTTTCTCTCTGCAGTTATCTTCACCTGTTGTGTGAAGCACAGCACCTTTCAAGACTTTGTAGAAATGGACAAAGAAGACAGGAAGACTATCAACAAGGGTCAAGAAGATGAAATGGTAACTAGCCTTCATAATTTCCTAGGAAGTAAAAAGATACAGTTAAAGAAAAACCAACGTAAGCTAATGTGCTGAGGCTGTAGGTTTGATCTCTAGTGAAATACCTACACACAAAACATACATCTGAATTTTGTAATCCCAGTTGTGGGTGGGTGGGTGCGTGCGTGCGTGCGTGCGTGCGTGCGTGCGTGCGTGCGTG